TTATTAAAATAAATTTAATGATTTAATTGTATATAAATAATAAAATGTGACTTTTAGAAGAGGTGTTAGTAGTTACTTGAAAAGTATATATTATTATTACAAAAAAGTTTATATAAAAAATACAAATAGAATACACTTTTATAGGGTAAAATAGATATATCCAGAAATATATACTTCTAATTTTAAACCATCAGCCACTTCCCTACTTTTTTTTGTAATGTTACCGACGTAGCTGAAGTAGCTGTTTGGATTCTCCAAAAAAACAAATCAAGCCCCACGTTTTGCTTGGTTAACTCTGGCCTTGTCATAATTGAAAACTTTCCTTTTTACTCAAGATTCTTTCAAAGCACGATTTTTCCATAAATCTTCAATAATACCAACTCTTAAAATAATTGATCTACCGTGGTTAACACCGTGGTAAGCTCAGTAGAACTCGCCATGTGTGGAAAAGCAATTGGTTGAATGAACCTTGACTTGAATAATTGTATGAGGTTGCATGTAGTATAGTGTTTCCATGTCATAATTCATTCATTCCAAATAGGAAAATGTGGGCCCTTGTTGTAAAGATGGCAAGTCCTATTAGGACTCACCTTTTTCCTTTTAAAATAGAAAATTCCACATGGTAAGATTGTACTGGCCCACTTATCTTTTATTTCAAGGGTAAATTACACTGACCTCCCCTGAGGTTTTGTCAACCTACACAGACCTCCCCTCTTGTTTATCAAATTACACTGACCTCCCGGTTAATGGATGTTGTTAAGGGAAAGAGTAAAATTACAAATTTATCCTTACTTATTAATTTATTATTAAAAATATAAAATATAATGGATATAAATTACCAATAGTACCCTTTTTAAGATTTTTTCTTCATTCTCCTTTCCCACAGCCTTGCCACTGCCGACAAGCCCCCTCTCTCTCTCCTCTGTCCCTGGTGGCTGGAGACGGGTGACGTCAACGGAGAAGAGCATGGATGACGATGTGCTTGGCAATGAAGTTTTAATAGCATCCTTAGAATTGCGCTACCTCGGAGAAGGCTATGCATCTTGATAATTAAAAAAAAAAAAAAAAACCCAAAAGTTGTATCTGTTTATAGAAAGAGAAAATAAGTTTCTCAATCGTTAAGGAAATAGGTCTGCTTGTTGCATGAAGCGTTGCCGGAGAGGAGTGCACCGAAAAGACAACTTGCCAGACTGAAATGGGTTTACACCAAAACTATGACCTCACCGTCATAATGGAGCTTTACCGTTCGCCGTCGTGAGCTTTGCCGATGGATTCTTCATTCCTTGCCGGTGAGTTCTTCATGTCGCGGTTTGTCCTTGCCTGTAAGCTCCTTTATCGCTATTCATCGTTGCTCGCCCCTGTTCTTGTTTGCTCACCGGCCCATCCTTGCTAAACTTCAGTACTTGCATCCCGGCCGGATCCTTACACTATGTTAGTTGGTTTAACAAATATCAACGTTTTCAATTTTATCTTAATTAACATAAATTCAAAATATAAGAGAAAACTAGAAATTACTCTGGGCAGTACTGTGTCCAAATTTCTTACACTGAGCACATAGCTTAGGAAGCCAAACATTTTCAACTTAAATTTCAATTTGCTTATGGTCATCTTTAATGTAGAAGTCAAAAGAAAAGTATGTGTTGGTTGCCCACTGTTATCATTTTGATGATGGGAGATTGATCTGGGGTGGAGTTTAAGAGACTGTTTATGATTGGGAGGTAGAGGATATGGTTGAGTTTTTGGTGATGCTGCTATATAGCCAGGTTATTTTTGAGGTGGGGATGGATTAGCGGACGTGGATGGCTTTGAGCTAGGGGAGATTTGAGGTATAATCCTTCTATTGTTAGCTGATGGACGTTCACGGGCGTCTTTTCTTGAAAGGAATTTGGTGCTTAAACCAAAAAGTTGAAATTTGTTAAACTACCTTCATCTGAATCTCTCTAAACTGAAGCTTGTCGAACCCTGATTCGCCTTTTGCAGCCCCAAAAAGTTAAAAATTGTTAAACTACCTTCGCCGAATCTCTCTAAACTGAAGCTCGTCGAACCCTGATTCGCCCTTCACAGCCGCCATGTGTAATATAGATAGATATATATATGTGTGTGTGTGTGTGTGTGTGTGTGTGTGTGTGTTTATATGTATATATATGGATGAGATTGATGTGCGTGTGTATAGATATATGTGTAATGTATATAGATAGTTTAGACCCATTGGGTGTTCTGGGTTTGTTGATATGAGGGCACCATTGTCCTTTTGAGTTTATAAGTCAAGGATAGTATTATAAATTTGCAGTGATTATTGAGGTTAAAAATGTCATTTCAGGTATTAGAAGGGTAAAATTGTCTTTATACTGATTTTTTTGACGGATATAAGCATAAACCGTTAGTTGTTTAACGGTAGAGGAGGTCCGTGTTATCAGTATATAAACTTCGAGGGAAGTCAGTGTTATTTGGTAAACAAGACGGGAGGTCAATGTATAATGACGAAACCTCAAGGGAGGTCAATGTAATTTACCCTTATTTCAATTACTGCGTAATGTTACATAGCATTAATACTCGGAATGAAATTCTACCAGAGTTGCGACCCTGTGTGGCGCATACTTCCTCTTTGTTAGTGGATCGTATCCAATCTATTTTCAGCAATTCCACATCATATATTCCTCTTTTGGACATTTAAAGCATCAATCCAATGTAGCAAGCTCATTGGAACTCGTCACATGTCGTCTTTCCATTGGGCAAAAATAATGGAATAAACAGTACTATCTTTGAAATTTAATCCCCATCACCCACGCACATTAAGCAAAAAAATTCTAAATTAGAGAATTTCATTAATATATACCATGATGATCATATCATTGAAATTGATGAGTTCTATTTAATTCTAAATTAGAAATGAGAAAATGCAGTATACTCCGGTACGGATAACGTAGCACGGATGAACTGTTACTTTCTATTATAAAAAACATATGTTGGGATGTTGCATATAACTTATAGACTTAAATTACACACTGTTTGGATGTTATGTACAAATAATCCATTAGAATTATGTTGGAATATTGCATACAACTTATATTGACTTAAATTACAAACTGCTTTGGATGTTTTGCAATACACACATAATTAAACAAAAACCATGCCAATCCAAAACATATTCGAAATTGCTCAACAAATCTTTGCATCTACTTTAAACCCAAACAATTTACGCATAACCCTCAAATATGGGAATACATTGTAATCCGAAACTCTTTCTTCCATCTTGTCACATTCCTTTTTCGATCACTAATGTAGTCTGCAAATTCTCTGGTTTTTTTCTCATCACAAACAACTTTTAAAATCCAAAAATAAGTGCACAATAAAACCCTCCCAGTGTAGAAGAAAATCTAAAGAGACCTCTAGACATGTTTGCATCTACTTTAAACCAAATAATTAAAATAAAACATTAATTTACTTTTTCTGGGTTTCTTCCACTTATGTCCATTCCTTCTTAGTAATTAATTTTCTTCTTTTGTCATTCATTTCTTATGGAAATTAGATGATTTCCTTCCCAAAAAAAAGAAAAGAAAAAGAAAATAAACATGGAAATCATAGTAGCTGTTGTGCCTCTCTCCTTCGGTGTTTCTCTTTAAATTTGAACAAAAATGACCTATTATACGAATAAATAAGATGAAATTTATGGAAACACTGGTAAGGAGAAACAGAGCCCTACTTCTATTTGGAAAAAAAAAAAATCAAAATCTGAATATTTTGGGAGAGAAGAAAGGCTGAATGGGTGGGATTTGTAATTTCAAATAGGTTGCTGCAAATTTATAAGAGATGGAAGGAGAATACATATTTCTTAGTATATATACGAAAATTGTATATAAAACTAATACAGATTTGTACCTTCTTTAATTAATGTTGTTCATTTATTAGGAGAAAATAAGATACTGTGCAACTGGAGAGGATCCTAACTCCATGTACACCTTGCATTAAATATTACACAAGATATTACTACTACATTTACCAAAATATGTGTGGTAGCATGGATCAGGATCCTGTCAAATCTAACCTCATCCATTTTCCTCCATTTTCGTAAATGATCAGTATTAACCGAAGAGGATTTTGCACCGTGGTAGTATGGCCTCTTCTCCTTCCACAAATCGTGCATGACCATTCAATTTTAATCTTGAACGATCACGTTTTCCAAAATGAATAGGACAGCGAAAGACACTTGCAGTGTTCCATTGGAAAAGACCTCATTGACTAGTATCTTCTTTTTCTATCTAACAAGTTACACAGTAAATACTTACTGCATCTAACATGGACCATTATTGCTTATTAAAAAGTTCTGAATCACTTAAATGTCAAACAGAATTTTTTTAATAAGAGGCAGTTTGGAATTGTTTTTCAACAGCTTACAAGTATTTTTATTTAAAAAAAAATTCATTTGAATGTGTAGCATTTATTGTAAAATTAGAAATAAAAATTCTTCAAAATATATTATTACCAAAATAATTAAAAAATAATTTATAATGTATCACCAAATACCTAGCATACTTTTTCACAAATCAAAGCAAGTTATATAGGAAGGCGGGGTTGGGCTGCTTTCTCTTTTGTTGGCTTTTGTTTGGGCCCTATTGTGGTCTTGTATTATGTTACGTAATTGCCTTTGGGCTTGATGTATGGGTTATGCAAGACTGTTTGGTGGTCCGGTCTATTTTTCTTTTCTATCCTGTACATTATTCTTTTCCCAAAAAAAAAATTAATAATAAATAAATAAAGTGCATTTGCAACAATAATAACATTTTCTAGTACAACATTGTTTAGCTTTGTTAATGTGTTGGGATTTTAATTTTGTTTAGGATGGAAGGATTTGAAATTTTTTGAATGTTTAAAAAAAAAATTGTCTGAAAAGGATGGAATTCAAAATGAAAAATGGATTTAAGAAATTTCATGTGACACACTATTGTATTTTTACCATGTTGGCAGTGATACATGTGACTTGAAGCTGACAAAGGGAGGAAAATAACGGCTATTTTCATGCACCATGGTGTAATTCTATCATGCTGAGTGCGAATTCGATGTCAAGAATGGAGATATAGCTGAATAGTATCATCAAGAATGTCAACATTTTTTTTTTTTTTCCCAAAATACCATTTATCAAACCAGAGCAAATTAGAACAGGGGAATGGAAAAACCCCAACAAGACAGGCAGCATTGAAGAACCACTTCCAAAAAGGCTGCCTAACAGAATTAACCAGATAAAAAACAAAGTAAAAGGAAAACACATTCACCAAATGAAGACAACAAAATCTCAAAGAATAGCAGGAAAATGTTTTAACTTCTACACAACAAGAAGAATCAGGCCATGGCTTCTTCCTGCAGATTAAGATCCAGACTATCAGAAATATCCCAGATGATTTTTCTAGCTGTTTGTGAAGCATTTTTGGCCACCCCGTCATGAAGAGCTACACTTGGGAGTCCTGCAAACAATTGCAATAAATCACTATATTAGCACATGAAACAATTGACTAAAATTTTTACTCATCCTTGATGCAGGATAAGTTGAACCACTCCACACTTTTTAATGGATTTGGATGCGTTCTGATAGTTAAAATATTAAACATCAAAAACAAAAAATTAATGTAAGAAGAAGAAAAAAACTACTGTCATATTTTAAGTCCATACGGAATTTGTGAGAAATTGAAGTTTGATCTTCTTGAGTACTACTACAGCATCTTTCATATTGATCCTCTCATGGGGTGATTCTGCAGAGCAATTCTGAGCCAGTTCCATGAGGGATGATAAACATTGCAGCTTTGCAGTGAAGTGTGCTTCCTCTGGCATTAGCAAGTCGGAATCTATAACTTCAATTATTGCATTGGGCAGGGACTGGTTTACCCAACTCTTGAGGCTCATATCTCCAGCAAATATGTCATCAGTGGGTTTCCTTCTTGTAAATGTTTCCATCAACATAATACCATAACTATAGACATCGCACCTTGTGGATACCAGTCCTTCCGGTCCATACTCTACATCTAGAATTGCAATTCATAAGAGGAATTGACATTTAAAGTGAGGAAAATAATGGTCAATAGAAACTTCAACTTAAATATGGTAATGAGAGAGAGAATATTGCAAACTTATACATGAATAGAAATTAAAAACTAAAAGATTCACCTGGTGCGATATACCCAAATGTGGCTAGAGTCTTCGTTAGTGCAATGCTCTCCCCCTGTCCTAAGAACTTTGCTATGCCAAAGTCACTCACATGTGCAACCATATCTTCATCTAGAAGGACATTGCTGGGTTTGAGGTCACAATGAACCACACGGGTTGAGTAATCATGGTGGAGATAGGCTAATGCACATGCCACATCTATCATTATGTCTAATCTTTGCATGATATCCAAGAAGTAGTTGTGTGAATGCAACCACTTTTCAAGACTTCCTTTAGGCATGTACTTGAGTATTAAGGCTCTGAAATCAAGGTTAGAGCAACTGCTGATAACTTTCGTAAGATTCCTGTGGCGAATGTTGCGTAGTATTTCACATTCAATGTCAAAACTCCTGGAAGCACCTTCTACGTGCAATTTGAAGACCTTTATAGCCAAAATAGTCCCATCCACTAGGATACCCCTATAAACTGAACCAAAACTCCCCATTCCGAGCAAGTTGCTTTCTCCAAATCCATTGGTTGCTCGTAGAAGTTCGTGGTATGTAATTCTTTCATGTGTAATTGCAGATATCGTATCTGTTTGAATTGGCATTTTATTTCTTCTCTTTCGGCGTCTTATGAAAACAAATATGAAGATCAAAGCAAGCAGTATTGAAGCGATCGGGAGCAAAATATATATGACCAGACGTACCCTTTTTTTCCTCGATTTGTGAAGTGAATTATCACATGGCAGGACTTGGAAACGAGGAACACCACACAATGCTTTATTCGACATAAAAGATTGATGTGTGAAGTTTGTGAATGGACCTCCAGTGGGAATTTCTCCTCTCAATCTATTGAAAGATACATTGAAATATTTAAGATACACGAGTGCCTCCAATGATTTGGGGACCAAACCAGAGAGATTGTTCCGGGATAGATCCAAGAATTCCAAACTTAACAAGTTGCCAAATGACTCAGGAATAGCCCCTTGTATTCTGTTATGGGCGAAAGATAGATTAATCAGCTTTTGCAGACCTGCAATCGTGCTTGGAATATCACCTGAGAATTGATTCATTGATAGATCTACTAGGATAGCGACCTTTAAGTTTCCAATTTCTGGGGGTAGACGGCCACTTAAAGAATTTGAGGAGAGGTTCAATTGCATAAGATTTGTGAGGCTCCAAAAGGAGGTTGGTATGCTGGAAGTTAATCTGTTAGAATGTAGATGTAGATATCTTAAGGAAGTAATATTCCCTAAGCATGCCGGTAAGGGGCCAGAAAGACTATTTTTCCTTAACTCCAATAAACCCTGGTTTAGTAAATTGCAGAGATCCTCTGGAATGGATCCTTGAATTCTATTGTCCTGAAGATATAATACCTGAAGTTTTCTTAACCCATTAATGGTTGTTGGAATAAGCCCACTCAAGTCATTGTTATAAAGATGCAAGAACGCCAAATTGCTTAAATTACCAATTCCATCTGGAATGTTTCCCTTGATTCCACAATAATTCACATCTATTGATTCAAGGGAAGTGGATAGATTGCCAATGGAAGCTGGAAGGATACCATTTAGAGGATTATCACCTACCCACAATCTTCTCAGTTGCCTGCAATTAGTCAGAGAATTGAGGAAGCTCAATTCTGGAGATTCACTGACGAAATAGTTCATTCCTAGGCTTAGTTGTTGAAGTCGTACCAAATTACCAAGTGAGTTGGGAATTGAACCAGTGAATGCGTTCCAGATGAGAGCTAGAATATTGAGTTGAGAAGCATTTGAGATAGAGTTGGGGAGAATTCCATTGAGGTAATTATCTGCCAGATCAAGTATTTCAAGATTGGGTAGCTTGTCACCTATACTTGCTGGAAGGTTCCCTGAAAGGTGATTAAAACTCAACACCAAATATATATATATATATACACACACACACATAGAAGTAAAATTTAAAGTGCAACAAAAACGTAACATAACTATGCAGAATTTGACAGGAAAGAAGGGTCATACCTGTCAAGTCATTTTCAGAAAGATAAAGCCTTTTCAGAGAAGTGATGTTAAACGTGGAAGATGGAATTTCACCTGAAAAATAAAAAATTACCATTTTATAAAAAGGGGCCATGACTCATGATCCGGCCTGGTCCTAGTTTAATCAGGGTGCTATGAAAAACAAACTAAATACAGATCCAACTGAATGAATAGAGCTTCTGACTTTTGTCATGGGAAGGTCCTCTTGATAACCTTACTCCATATATTTTTTTATAAATCTTAACTTTTGGGTTTCATATATATAATTAACAATCTTTTTTCAATATGTGCATATATATATATATATATCTGACTTTTTGTCCACACCGAGTATCATGACGGTTAGATATAATTTAAGTGTAAAAAAAATATAATTACCAAAACAGCATAACAATTATATCCAGATCACCAATGAAGGTTATTTCATGATTAATTTTTAATCAAATATGACAAAATTTGCAAGCAAGTACTCGCATAACATGTTATAATTGAAAACACAAACTTGCAATGAGAACACATTCATGATAGACTAACCTATTGAATCACTTAAAAATAAATAAATAATTTGCACACACCATGGTTGATGATAAAAGCAGTGTAATGTAATCATGCTCGTATCACAATAACACAACAAAATCAATTATTGCAGTTATAAATTTTTTTCAATCTCACATGTAAGAATCAAAATACATCGCAACATTTTTCATAACATAATTTTTTAAAATAGATATTTAGTGTATTTTAATGATTTTTATTGAATTTTTATGAATCATTTAAGACAAGTATTGACCTATTCATGAATTTTAAACTGTTGTTATCAAAAAGGCTTAGTAATTTGGGAAAACTACACATAGGTAAACTTAGTAGCCTTAAATAACAAAATAGTCTAATTTTAAAGTTCACTTTTCAATTTGATTAAATTAAACAAAATAATTACGAATACAGCAACAAATTTTATTAAGGTTCAAAATACCCTTCAAACTCTTATTCGAAAATACTAAAATATCTTTATAATTATATAATAATAATGATACTTAGTCTAATATTTTGGAGCCGGTTTTGGTTTGATTCTTACTTGGCATGGACATATCATCGCTCTTACCATTTTTTTTTTCTTTCCAAAACGACGTTTCTCTCCCTATTCAATTAAATTGCTTTCCATTCCCTCTATCTTCTTCTTCTTGTGTCCCTCTCTATCTTCATTGTCTCTCTGTCTCTCCCCTCTCGTTCTAGGTCTCTTTCTTTACTTGATTGTTGTTATTATTGTTGCTTCTAGTTTTGATAACTTTTTTGAACAACCACGTTGATGAGGGAGCGACCGCCATAACCGCCATGTCTAAAAGATTATTATAAAGACACTTGTCTTTCCCGTCTTCCTCAGATCTCTTGTACAATGGCTTAAGTTTCATCTTTTTATCTACAATGATTTGCTTATCAAAAAATTATAGAATATACTGAAAATTTTGGTTTTGGGTCAATTGATCCATACCCAGTATGGTCACATATATAACCTAGAAAAAAAAAAAAAATAAAATAAAATAAAATTTGAGAAAATTTTGAAATCAAACAGATCTAATTAAAGGGAGAGAAAGTCTCATTGAAGAGTGAAAATCTATTTGAAAACTAACAAGAAGCATCACAACTTGAACTTTAAACATCTAGGGATCACCCAAATTTTACTATTGAATAGAGAGAAGAAAAAAGAATGAAAAAATCAAACCATATATAATTGAAGAAAGAGAGGGTTTTTTTTTTTATTTTTTATTGTGTGCAGAAATAGAGGAGATGTCGTGGCAATGCCATGTTTGAGTCGGACTAAAATCGGCCCAGATGACATGGCAATGCTAGTCTCAAGGAATCTAAATTTGATTAGAAAATAGTGTTCTGTGTTTTCAAGGAGTGTTTTGTTTCTTCAATTGGGCATTTAATCAAACAATTTATTTTCATAAAATCAAACCTTAACAAAGTGTCTTTCTTGCTTTAAAACAAGAAAATATTATTCTACCAATAAAAAGAGATTAAAAATTATATGTATAAACATGGAAATAGTACATATACATAGGGAGAAAATACTATGTAAAATAAATTTGGATTTATAAGATACTCTCTAATAGTTTGTCATGCTTGTTGTAATGGATCTGATTTTCTTCAGTCACGCTCCCTCCAAACACAGGATCCACCATCAAGATTCCATAGTTTCTTAATTGATTTTTGGTATTTTGAAATTATATAACCCTAAGAATATTTTGGTATTTTAGAATAATAGTTTGGAGGGTGTTTTGGACCTTAATAATTATTGTTGATGTATTTATAATTATTTTGTTTAATTCAATCGAATTGAAAAATCAACTTTAAAATTAGACTATATTGTTATTTAAGGCTACTAAGTCTATCTATATGTAGTTCATGAATAAAATTAAACTCAATTGTGGAATAAATTAATGAAAATTCATACCAATACAACGTGAGAATTTTAAAAAAACCAAAAAATATATATATGGTTTTGTCTATATATAAACTAATTAAATTACACATGGAAAATAAATTTGTTTACATGTGATTTTATTTTCAATTTTCCTTATGTTATTTTATATATTGATCAATTGAGGAGCTTTTTTAAAAAGAGAACTAGCACGTAGCACCATCTATATTATGGGATCAAGCTTTTTTTTTTTTTTTTTTTTTTTTTGTTTGTTAAAATTATGGGATCAAGCTTTGCTATTATGGTGGTCCTATTTTTTTATTCTTTATCTTTGGAAATGTGTGGTGGTCTTATTTTTCATTTAAAAAAAATCATAATACTGTTGAACTCGCCAGTTTGAGTGCGAATTTAAGACTCACCGACCGAAATGAGAGATCTATTTTGCATTACGAACTGAATGATTCGCGCAACTCTTGCATACTAAATTGATCAAAAACAAATTAAAGTAGGTATATAACAGTACCTTTGAAGTTGTTATCGCCAAGAGATAAAGCCTTAAGCACAGTTGAGTTCCAATTCCCTCTAGGAATGGGTCCGTTGAATTTGTTAATCGACAGCGACAGAGTTTGAAGTTCTGAGCACTCATATAAACTTGATGGAATTTGACCATGGAACTGGTTCTGAGATAGATAAAGGCCTTGGAGGTTTGAAAGTCGATGACACATATCCATAGGAAGATGACCAGATATGCTATTGCTTGTAAAAGAAATAACTTTCAGTGACGAGATGTTGAAGATGGTGAGTGGCACAGAGCCTATAAGCTGGTTAGATTGCATGTCCAAAATCTTCAAGTTATGAAGATTACCGATCTCTCGTGGAATCATTCCTTGTAGAAAATTGGAAGATAAAACCAAGGTCTCTAACTTCGACATGTTAGAGAATGAAGGTGGGATTGTACCTATAAAGCTATTGTTATCAACAACTAACTGTTGCAGTTCAGTTAAGGCACCCAACCATGATGGAAGCTGACCACCAAATTTATTAAAACTCAAATTTATGAATTTCAATCGACGCAGATGAACTAAATCATCTGGCATATGACCACTAAAAGTGTTGTTACTAAGGTCGAGAAGAACGAGAAAGGAGAGGTTACCCAAGCGTGGAGGAATAGTACCTTCAAGAGCCATGTTAGAAATGTCCAACGATGTCACTCGTAGGTGGTGAGTGCCGCAAGTGACTCCAATCCAGTTGCAAATGGAGGTAGATGTGGACCAGTTAGCCAAGACACCATGAGGGTCAAAAGTGATGTGGGCTTTCAAGGCAAGAAGAGAATATTGATCAGTTGTGATGTTGGTTTCAGCACTCATAGCCAAACAAGCCACAAGACAACAACACTGCATGCGAAAGAGGAAAGCAACTTTTCTCCATGAGTGTGTTTGATTAATTTGGAATACAAATGGTGGACATGCAAGACATAAATGTCCTAAATATCTTTTTGCTGTGATGCAGAAAAGAAATCTATCAATATATTTGAGCCGGGTAAGCTTAAGCTTATTAGGGGCCTCAAAACTCCCTTTAATAGAAGAATGATTATACTACTTGAACCAATGGATCAGTGGACAATTTCATAGAATCGCATTTTCCCCACTGAATAGAAGGCAGAAGAGGGCACTAGAAGTGTCCCATGGGCTAAGAAGACTTGCTTGTATCTTCCAACATTTTTTCTCTTCCAAGTTCCAAATATGGTGTTAATGTTTTTTGAGTCAAAAGTCTTCAACCTGTTGAATGCATTGTGATGAGATCCACTCTGGGTATCACCAAAAATTAATGCGTGCTAGGCCGAAGTCTTGGCCCGGGGGTTGAAAACTTGGGCACCTGAATTAATGCATCTTTTTTGTTCATACTATTATAAGACCATGTGTTGATACTAAAATTCCATGGACTTTTATTTTAACAAATTGACCCATCAAAATTTTTTTTTTAATAAGTAACAAATTAACCCATCCAATAAGGGTCTTATGCTATGAAGCACAGACACCCTTTCCAGGGTCCCGTACTAGTGTCAGACACGTGTTCGACACTTCTGTGAAGTATCCAGAAATTATTTTTTATTAGACACGGCTGGGACACGTACCGGACACGGCGGGGTATATTTTGTAATATTTTTTAAGAAAAATTGGGTAGCTAATGTAATTTTAGAAGTTTGACTCTTTTGATTCTTTTGTCTGAGATTCTGAACTTCTACTTTTATTAAATTTTATGATTCCATTGTGTTTATTTTTTTATTTGATTCATTCATCTCAGTACTGGAATCCCTGGTGATTAAATAAAAATAACACATATCATCATCCTATTAATTCAAGAAGCCTATAAATAAAGGAACGGATGAAGGAGGAAGGGGTGACTCAGAAGTTCAGAATTCCATAGTAAAATATAAGCGCATCCTGACTTTGAAGAATTATCAAACAATTATCAAACAATCGACAATCTTCAAGATCAAGCTCCAACAACCCTGGAATCCAACTAAGAAAGGAAATCGAATCAGGTAATATTTTCTTTATTTTGTAAAAAATATCTACGAGAATTATACTCAATTTTCATAAATTAATATATAATAGAAGAATGATTATACTACTTGAACCAATGGATCAGTGGACAATTTCAAATAATCACATTTTCCACACTGAATAGAAAAGGCAGAAGAGGGCACTAGAAGTGTCCCACAGGCTAAGAAGACTTGCTTGACTTGTATCTTCCAACATTTTTCCAAATATGGTGTGAATGTTATTTGAGTCAAAAGTCTTCAACCTGATGAATGCATTGTGATGGGATCCAGTCTGGGTACCACCAAAAATTTATGCCTGCTAGGCCGGAGTCTTGTTGGCCCGGGGTTGAAAACTTGGGCACCTAAATTAATGCATTTTTTTTATTCAGACTATTAAAAGATGATCTATGTAGATACTAAAATTTCATAAACTTTTATTTTGATAAATTGACCCATCAAATATGAGCTTTATGTTTAATTAAATTATTTAATTGGTTCAAATTTGGTCAACTTAAATTATTTAATTAGCCCAACCCAAGTGATTAAATAAAAAGATAATTATTTTTAATAAAATATTTTTGAAATAATTATTTTTATGATAATTATAACAAAATCCAAAAAGCCTATAAATAGAGGCATGGAGGAAAGGAAGGGGTGACTCAGAAGTCAAGAATTCCAGAGTAAAAGACAGACACCTAAGCTTTGAAAGCAAAGAAGAATAAGCACATCTAAAATCCAACAAATTCTCCTTTGAAGAATTATCAAACAACATTGTTCGAGATCATCGGCGATCTTCCTCAATCAAGATTAAGCTCCAACAACTCTTGAATCCAACCAACAAAGAAGATCAGATATTATTTTCTTTATTTTGTAAAGAATTAGGGGTGCACACGGTTCAGTTCCGTACGGTTCCAGTCGAAACCGGAACCGGAACCGTTCACAACGGTTCCTTAAAAACGGAACCAGAACCGTATAGGTATGGAACCGAACTGACTGTTAACTGTTTGCTCTTTTTTCCCCTGTTGTACTGTTGTTCCCTTATTTAGTAGTGTTCCATTACTTAACAGAATACAATAGCAAAAATATAAATATAAATATATACAAAACACAGAAAATAAAACAGAAAATATAATATTTTTAATTATATTAATTATTTTAAAATGTATATAAATATTATAAATCAAATACATTTTTATAGGGTATAAAAATCAAAATTGAATACACTTTAACATATAAAATATAAAAACTCCTCATGTACTAATTATGGATTGTATATATAATAATTCATTCCTGAAAGAATTATATGATAACTAACTAACATTTCAATCAATGATTATACACGTCAGTTATCTATATAAACTTGTACACATATATTGCATATAAAATACAATATTTTATATATTTTATCCATGTAATTTTTCTGAACTGAACAAATTTATTATTCATGCATATTTCTTTCACATCATAATAAAAGAATTCCAGAATTGAACTATTACGAGAACATATAAAATATAATATATGATGAGATAGAAAGATAAAATATATAAATTGTTCTTCAATTGAAATTAAAACATACCTTTAAAAAAAATTAAAAAGGTTTTGAGTTGAATTTGATGTACATAAACCAAAAGACGAGTCTCCTCTCAAAGCCGTTGAAATTGTTTGTGGAAGAAGAAACCGCTAACAAACTTTTTGTGAAGAAATTATTTTCAAAGAGAGATGGAAATTAAGAAATAGAGAGGAGTGAGATATAGGGTGATAAATAGGTGTTTGCAGTTAAAAGGTAACTTTTAGAAGATCGAAGTGTTAGTGTAGTTAAAAGGTGACTTTTAGAAGAGGTGTTAATAGTTATTTGAAAAGTCACATTTATTTATTAAAATAAATTAAATGATTTAATTGTATATAAATAATAAAAGGTGATTTTTAGAAGAGATGTTAGTAGTTATTTTAAAAGTATATATTAGTATTACAAAAAGCGTATATAAAAAATACAAAGTGGAATTAAAATGTGACTTTTAGAAGAGGTGTTATTAGTTATTTGAAAAGTCACATTTATTTATTAAAACAAATTTAATGATTTAATTGTATATAAATAATAAAAAGTGACTTTTAGAAGATGTGTCAGTAGTTATTTGAAAAGTATATATTATTATTACAAAAAAGTTTATATAAAAAATACAAATAGAATACCATTTTATAAAGTAAAATAGATATATCTAGAAATATATACTTGCCATTTTAAACCATCACCCACTTCCCTTTTCTTTTATAATGTTACCGACTTCGCTGAAATAGCTGTTTGGATTCTCCTAAAGACAAGGAGAAAATCCAGCCCCACATTTTGCTTGGTTAACTCTGGCCTTGTCATAATTGAAAACCTTCCTTTTTACTCAAGATTCTTTGAAAGTACGATTTTTCCATGAACTTTCAATAATACCAACTCTTAAAAGAATTAATCTACGGTGGTCAACACTATGGTAAGCTCAGTAGAACTCACTATATGTGGAAAAACAATTAGTTGGATGAACCTTGACTTGGATAATTGTATGAGGTTGCATGTAGTATAGTGTTTCCATGTCATAATTCCTTCATTCCAAATAGGAAAATGTGGGCCCTTATTATAAAGATGGCAAGTCCTATTAGGACTCACCTTTTTCCTTTTAAAATAGAAAACTCCATATGGTAAGATTGTACTAGCCCATTTATCTTTGATTTCAATTACTACGTAATATTACACAGCTTCAATACTTTGAATGAAATTCTACCAGGGTTGTGACCCTTTGTGGCAAGTTCCATTGAAACTCACCACATACTTCCTCTTTATTAGTTGATCGTATCCAATATATTTTCAGCAATTTCACATCATATATTCCTCTTTTGGACATTTAAAGCACCAATCCAATGTGGCAAGCTCATGGAACTCATCACATGTTGCCTTTTGATTGGGCCAAAATAATGGGATAAATAGTACTATCTTTGAAATTTAATCCCCCTCTCTCACACACATTAAGCAAAAAAAAATTCTAAATTAGAGAATTTCATTAATATATACCATGATGATCATATCATTGAAATGGATGAGTTTTATTTAATTCTAAATTAGAAATGAGAAAATACAGTGTACTCCGGTACCGATAACGTAACACGGATGAATTCTTACTTTTATTATAAAAAACATATGTTGGGATGTTGCATATAACTTATATTGACTTAAATTATAAACTGTTTGGATGTTATGTACAAATAATCCATTAGAATTATACTGAAATGTTGCATACAACTTATATTGACTTAAATTACAAACTGCTTGGGATGTTTTGTAGTACACACATAATTAAACAAAAACCATGCCAGTCCAGAACATATTTGAAATTGCTCAACAAATCTTTGTATCTACTTTAAACCCAAATAATTTATGCATGACCCTCAAATATGGGAATACATTGTACTTCGAAACTCTTTCTTCCATCGGATCACATTCCTTTTTCGGCCACTAATGTAGTCTGCAAATCCTCTGGTTTTTTTTCGTCACAAACAACTTTAAAATCCACAAATAAGTGCACAATAAAACCCTTCCAGTGTAGAAGAAAATCTAAAGAGACCTCTGGACATTTTTGCATCTACTTTAAACCAAATAATTAAAATAGAGCATTAATTTACTATTTCTGGGTTTCTTTCACTTATGTCCATTCCTTCTTAGTAATTAATTTTCTTCTTCTGTCATTCATTTCTTATGGAAATTAGATGATTTCCTTCCAAAAAAAAAAAAAAAAAAAAAATGAAACATGGAAATCGAAGTACCTGTTGTGCCACTCTCATTCG